CGATTCCAATATCACACATGAAAGACTATTGTACTGAGGCCCGCTGTATATAGAGTAAAAAGCAACGTGATGCGGTAACACGGAGACGGCGGTTGCCATTAAAGCTCGTATCTGTTCACCTGGATTTTCTGATCCGAGCTAATATGGTCTCTGAAATGGAGCCTACACTGACGGCATATCACGCGGGCTCGGCAGTCATGTGTAGTGATGACGTGCCCCCATTACGTATCTGCGGCGAGGGCATTTCCTCGGCAACATTATGAAAACTATCTCATTCTGAGCCGGAAAACAACATCCATCATGTTATACTGCAACATTCGCGATAATAATATATATATATATATAAACAAAGTCAAGGTATAGAATAAGGGTGTTTAAAGTTGAATTGACGAGCTTTCGAGATTACATCTCAAAATTGTTGAATCATTCATTTTTGATTATCCATAACGCATTGTATTTGTTTTTGATTATTTGATTCTATTCCAATGTCTGCTGACTTGATGAAGAGATGTAATCTCGTAAGCTCGTCAATTAAACTTTAAACACTCTTATTCTATACATTGACTTTGTTTTTATCTACACGGGTGTTCGTGTGTGACTTTACTTCTCTCTCTCTATATATATATATATATATATATATATATATATATATATATATATTGTGCGTGGCAACAGTTTGTGTGAATGACATTTTTACGCAAAGACCGCGTACGCGTTAGTCTATTTTTCTGAGTTGTGATTGTGTGTAAGAAAAACGATTATGGAGGCTAGGGCTATTGAATGCTTACTTTCACGTTTGAGTTCACATGTAATACGGAAATAATAATAAGTTCAATAATAATAATAACTAGAAACGAGCAGTTGTCGCCAGCTACATGTATCCCCCGTGATCTAGTATGAATGGAATATCTCTGTAAGAACCTAGAAGGCAGGTAAAGTTAAATAAGTCACAAAGACAAAGGTTTGTTAGACAACTGGTCTGCCTCAGATGTGCAAGTATATGGAATCTGGTTACCCTAGGAGGCCGAAGAGGAAATGTAAGTCGACGGTGAAGATCAAACTAAGGTCAAGGGCAGTGATGGTTTTGGTATGCAACAGAACCTTCTCCCCAAGATGTGTAAGCATACCAAGTTTGGTCGCGCTAGGTCAATTAGGGGCCGAGTTAGAGAGCGAAAGGGAAATATGATCAAGGTCAAGGTAAAGGTGAAATAAAAATCGCAGTGACCTGGTGGGCAGTATTTACCCGATCTCGGATGATCTTCAGTTTTGGCATGAAGGTGCGTTATGGTAAAGCAAAGACGTCAATCGTTTTTGGTGTGGGCGGAGTCATCGTTGCCATGGTAACAACATTTTTGTGGAAATATTATAGAACCTGTAACTTGTGCTGTTTTTACCCGATTGTCATGGAATTTGGCACACAGGGCTATATTCCTATACATATATAATTGATGTTAATATAAATTTAAATATAAATTTTAATACAAATGTAAATTTCATGACAATCGGGTAAAAAGTGCAGAAGTTACAGGTTCTAGAAAATGTCGACAAAAAATGTTGTTACCATGACAACGATGACTCCGCTCACACCAAAAACGATTGGCGTCTTTGCTTTATGATAATGCACCTTCATGCGAAATTTGAAGATGATCCGAGAAGAACTGCAGCCGGTAGAGCGTTCACAAGGAAATCTCTGCAGCGGCGGCGGCGGCGGCGGCGGCGGCGGCGTCGGCGGCGGCGGCGCGACGATGCCAAACCCATAGTATCCCCACGAACTTCGTTCGGGGGATACAATAAGTAATAAGAAGGATGAATTAGAATGGTAAGAACAAAGCTCTTTGTTCTTAGGGGACGCACGTGGGTCGAGGGGTCAAGGGGGCGTGGCTAACGACCCTGGCCAGCCAATAGGAGAGCGCCTGCATTAACACGCTTGACTAGCCGTCACTCGAGAGGCGTCGACCAATGGGAGCGCGTTGGCTAAGACAATGACGACGGCGTCACTATTTAAAGTGCATTCCATGAAATTACCACGGCTACTAGTTTGCAATCGAGTCGAGACACGTCTACCTATCTGTACCGTTGCTGTACCAGCTACCTACTTCACCGCTTTATATGTAAGTGTATGTTGTGTCGCGTACCTTTCTGTTCACTAGATGCCTAGTACAAGCGGCGTCCACGTTACCGTAATATGTGCAGTAAAGATGTTTGTGCTTTAAACACGTAGGCCTAACTTCATTGTTGAGTAATTTATGTATGATGTAAGCAGCGGTATCTCTAATAACATACGCAGAACCCTAACGATCAAAGGTAACGAACGAGTAGAAGAAACACAGTATTACACACATTAATTGGGTTACGCTTAATAAATCATAGTTATTAATACTCGCATGTGTACTTCTACCTGTCCTATTTTGGTGTGTCAGTCATACGCCCCTACTATTATATATTTTTGATTTTATTCATAACAAAACAACTATTGCCTAACCATGAGAGCAACGTGAAATGTTGTGTTCGGAGAAATTAAATATTTTTCGAGACCGGCGGTTATGGAGCCTTTCAAGGAACATGAGTGAAAAAATATACCAACAAGTTAAGAAATATATCGGCAGCCAGGACGCAATAAATTTGTATAGAATATAGAGATGCGCATCCCGGTTTTTTTAATTTGATCTGATACCTGTATCATTTAGTGTCGCGGTCAGAGTAAAATCAGGAAACTGTGAACTTAACTTTCGATGATTTGAAAGACGTGTCTTTTTTGAAGCCCCACTTATATAAGGTTTCTTCACCGATGCACCAGCAGCCGATAGCAGCGCTGTAAACTAATTTTGTAACAGTTGGGAATTCGATCTTGAAATATTTATGATATTTTATAACTATCTTAATGCCATTAGCTAGAACGTAATTACGCGGATGTAATGTAATGTAAAGCATGCAGCACACTTCACCATTTTCGTTGCTCGTACAGGCAATTTTCGTGGTCGGCAATTTGTGTGGCCTTTGCCGCTTCACAGCACACGTCACTACTAGTGACGTGTGCTGTTTACGGCAATTTTTGTTGCCAGATGTTGTAGCTTTAACCCATTCATATACAGTTATCAAATAAAGGAAATATATAAATTTTATCAACATTTCTGTTACTTAGGCCTAGGGGCCTATATTTGTATTTTTGTATATTTGTATATTTGTATATTTGTATATTTGTATAATATATAAATTTTATCAACATTTCTGTTACTTAGGCCTAGGGGCCCTATATTTGTATATTTGTATTTTTGTATGTTTGTATATTTGTATATTTGTATATTTGTATATTTGTAATATATAATTTTTATCAACATTTCTGTTACTTAGGCCTAGGGGCCCTATATTTGTATATTTGTATTTTTGTATGTTTGTATATTTGTATATTTGTATTTGGCTCATTTTGAAATCATGTGACGGCAGCGCTAATTTTAATTGGTCTGAGAGTGATTTTGTTGCCGATTGCCGTAGTGGCTTGGCGCACACTTCACCACAAGTTGCCACCACGAGCAATTTTCGTGGTGAGAAATCAAACCGGTTTGATTCTCGGCAACTCGTGGTCACCACTAAATTTTTGTGGTGAGTGGTCGTTGCCGGCCCCCGCACACTTGGCCATTTTTATGGCGACCACGAAAATTGCCTGTGCGAGCAACGAAAATGGTGAAGTGTGCTGCCAGCTTAAGATAAGACAAGAAAATATATAGTATAATATGATATGGTGTCAGCCCTCGAGCGAACGCGAACTTGTTTTTGATGATAATCGAAAATTGAGTAACGCAGAAATGGGAGCGGAGTCTGAAAAAATTCGCAAATGCAGAATATGATTGAAATTTGTTCCAAATGAAATCATTCCACACTACTATAAAATGCCTAAAAATAGGGCACATATATACTGTTTACTGCCATTGTAAAAAAAGCGATTGCAGTTTTTCCTCGTATAGGACTGCCAGGCAGCACAACTCCGCACAGTATACATATACAACGCGGATTGACCATGCGGTATAAAACGGAATGTCGATCAACCAAATGGTAGACAATCGACTCTTAATTGCATAGTATACGCATGAAAACGCAAAATTCACCACAGTTCGTATAATTTCTAAGCTAAGCAGAAACGCAGGCATATGACATGGCTAAGCCGGACAGAGTTGTAGCTTCAACGAGTTACATTTGCTAAATAGAAGCACTGTATAGTACTGCATATATACAAGTATAGAACCAATGTAGTAAAAGCGAAAGGCGAAGAGAGTACGCTAAAGAAACGACTGTTAAGAAATCTATAAACACGGAGATATATAATGTTACGGCAGGAAGGAGAGACATAAAGATGGGTGAGAGGAAACAGTGGGTGACACTGGAAATGGTGAGACAGAGAATAGGACGACAACAATGTTATAGAAGACAACGAGGCGGAGACAGGTGACGTATGTACGAGTTTGTTTCTAACTAGTCTTTAGAGTCGTTTGCCAGTTGTTATTCTTCAACATCTATTGTTGAGAAGTTTCTATAGTTTGTATACATGTATCGAAATATATATTTGTATATATGTTTAATACTATTGTATAGAAGTAAACTCTTCTCATAATTCTTCTTCTGCTGCTGTTGTTGTTGCTGCCGTTGCCGTTGCTGCTTCTGCGGCTGCTGCAGCCGCCGTTATTGCTGCTGCCGCCCCGCCGCCTCAGTTGCTATTGCTGCTGCTGTTGCTGCTGCTGCTGCTGCTGCTGCTGCTGCTGCTGCTGCTGCTGCTGCTACTCCTGCCGCAGCTGCTTCTCCAGTTGTTGTTGCTGCTGCTAATGTTGTTATTCATGACGCAGCTTTTTCTACTGCTGCTACTGCTGTCGCAGCTGCCGCAGAGCGGCTGCTGTTGCTGCTGCTGCCACCACTGCTGCTGCTGTTGTTGCTGATGCTGTTGCTACTACTAGTACTACTGTCTAGCGGCGTTGCTCCGTCCTTCGTTCCCAAACGAGATTGCTTTCGATGACTATTACAAACATATTACAGAGACTCATTTACAGACTCATTTATTGTGACCATCACTTAATCGCTAATCATGCGAACACGAAATCTCATTATTATTACGCGGGACCCGTCCGGTCAATCGGTTTGCCTTGCCAACCGAGAGATTCGCTGTTATCAATGCGTTCGGTACAGCTCAGACAAATAATTGATCAGACTGTGTAGGTAATTACAGAGGTTATAATAGGGCGCCGACCCTCGACAACGAACATTACATATTGATGCAGCACAGTTATATATATATATAGAGAGAGAAACAGATGTATAGAATATTTATCACAATATCCGGCGATTATAATTTATATAGAAATAAAGGTTATAGCGCTTTCATCTTTTCGAATCTTCAGTGCTTAATGTTTACATAACTACCACTATGACGTGTATGCCGTCATAGTTATAAAGGGAGGTAATGTTATAACGTTATTAAATATAATAGCCTGTTCAGTTCGGGTTCAAATAACCTGATGAAGTATATTGTTCTTTCGATTTCTTAGTTGCGGGGTCACCTTCGGGTCGACTTTCGTAATACTTGATTCTGTTACATCCGATACCTCGGTCCTCCTGTTGGGTTGCCTCGATCAGCCTAAAAAATAGTTTCTTGATCGTTGTCCAACATACGTGGTAGCGTCTCTTATTATTATGTATATGTTATACTGGGTTGCTTCTGCTCTTTACAAATTTGCGATTTCCAGGTCTTTGGCCGTTCTTTGTGTGTATTGATATGTCCTGTTACGAGGTTTCTCGCTGAATGTTTTCCTTAAAAAAAAATATATATCGTTAATATCAGCTTTATAGCTGATGTCGCCTGCAATATTGTGGTCGCTTGAGAGGTTTCCATTCTTGCTATTTGATCGCAGGCTAGTCAACTGTTATGCTAGCCGTCGGTACATAACCTTTATAGGTCTATTAGTGGCGTTCTCTTCCCGGCTCCTATCAGCTTATTATCATCGCAGTTGCACGGCGTGAGTTCTTTTACCATCAATGAACTGCAGAGAAGATAAAGGTCTATCCGAACCGTCTCAAAGCTAAACTCGACAGGCGTGAAGTCAACTAAGCATGTTTTTTAATCAGACGTGTGATATGTGCGTTGGATGAATTGTAGACAACACCGTAACATAGCAATATGATTATGCTGGATCCACATTTTATGGTTCACAATCGCACGCTGGTTTGTGCGGATTAGTTTCACTATAAAAGCAGTCGAGGTAAAATGCAATTTTCGAAATATTTTTCTGTATGACTAATATTACTTTGATGCGCCAGACATCGCAGCGATGAAATCTTTTGAAGGAGATTTGTTGCAGCCAAATCTTGCTCTATGCAGCGCGGCTGTTCATATTAGCTCGGCTTGCAACGATATTCTATTAATTTTATTTGCTATGTATTATACGGGTCAGAACTATTCGCGGTAACACGAGGTGCCAATGTATCTACGGTTGTCGTGCTACCTTATTACCATTATACCGTATTGTGCGGGTGAAACTGAACTGATACAAGCTATAACAGTTGTTAATTAATAGGATTCTTAACTATAGGTGGTCGGCGTCACGCGTCTGTTGTCCGTATGCCTTTATCTATTAGACATTAACTGTTATTTTTAACAGGTAAGGCTGTTAGGCGTGGTCAGCATCACGGGGGCTTTAGCAGTCGCAAACCAGTGTTCATGATTTTTAGCGGGAGAAAGCGGTTAGGTTCGTGTTGATTGCAGTGGTGGTTAGAGTCGGTTGTAGGGTTAGGGTTAGGATTAAAGTTAGAGTTAGGATTAGGGTTAGGGTTAAGGTTAGGGTGAGGGTTAGAGTTAGCGTTAGAGTTGTAGAAAAGCGCAGGCTTCTTCAGATATTATTTACATTTATAATTTCCCATGATTCTATATGAGCTAGCGTGCGGCGTCGCCGTACGGCGTAGGCAACCAATATGAATTACGCCATATCCGCCGGGTGTCACCCGCCACAAGCTACCTGCGTCATTTATTAGTCGAACGCATCTATGATGCTAAACTCAAGCTAGAGACTCGGGTTCTTCCTCCCAACCGAGCAGTCCAGTTTTTCCCGCGCTCGTGATATTTTCTTTGTCTCCTACACCATTCCTTTAATCCTCCTTCCTCCCACCACCTTCACTTCGCCGAGCTACTTCGCGATCAACGTCTTTAAGGTACGAGGTTACTTGTATTCGGTTACGTGTTCGGTCGGTGTTTGTAGACATCTGTTTAGTATCGTAGAGTGTTTGTTTAGGCTGTTAAAGTGCAAACCACCTGTGACGCATATTCTGTGGTGTAATAGAACGCACGGAGAGTAGCTTTTATAATACAGTGTTCATGTTATCCATCGATGTAACCCGACGCTACCCTTAAGGTGACTACCTTACACAGGCTGAGAGGAAGGCGCGGAGCTTTCTTAGAGAGTTAGGGTTAGAGTTAGGGTTAGGGTTAGGGTTAGGGTTAGGGTATAAGGGTTAGGGTTAGGTTAGGCGGTTAACTGTGAGTATCAAGCCATCAGAAATCTATGCTCGGTAGGCGGCTCAGCGTCTGTTGTCCGCCGTATGCCTTCATCTGTTAGACCTTAACTGTTTTTTTTGGCAGGTGAGGCTGTTAGAGGTGGCCAGCATCACCGGGACTTTTGCAATCGCAAGCCAGTATTCATGACTTTTAGCGGGAGAAAGCGTTTATGTTCGTTTTTATTGTCATCGTACATGGCGACGAAGTGGCGGTTAACTGGTAATGTAATCGGTTGCAAGCCAGGACGCAAGCTATAAGGGGGTTAATGGTTATAGTTTAATTTTAAATAAGTAGATTTTTAACATCTATCTTAGAATCAGTGCAGGTGAATTATACCACGTGATACCATATACTACGTGAGCTATGCCAGGTCCGAATGAGCAACTTGAGCGGTTTCTTACCTCACAACGGAGCAATGCACAAGGTAAGTTGTTTTTTATGTTAAACTACATATTGAGCTCCGAATTTAGTCATTATGTGGTAAGGATTAGTCTGTGTGTTTTTATTTGCCTGTGCGAGTGGGCGTGTTTGTGTGCGTGCGTGCGTGTACGCTTTCGTGTACGTGTGCATGTGCGCGTCTTTCTATATGCCTGTCTGTCTGTCTGTCTGTCTGTCCGCCTGTCTGTCTGTCTGTCTCTCTGTCTGTCTGTGTGTCCGCCTGTTTGTCCGTCCAATTCCCAATTCCTCTCTAATCTGATTTACAAAGAGCCTAGAATAGTATGAAGCGACCTTAATTTTATTTGAGTGATAAACGGCTGGACTGTTAAAGGATTATAACTACATGTGTTAACCCAGCAAACACGGAACATTCTCGTAACATTCGCTGGAGTTTCTAGTTTGGTTACATTAGCCAAAAATATTCTAAGAACATTCCCATATCGTTATGCATTCATTGGTTTTACTTGGTGAAAGAGTTATGTTCTTGGAATGTTTCTCGTAACATTCACTGGAGGTTCTAGTTTAATTACATTAGTCAAAAATATTCTAAGAACATTCCCATATCGTTATGCATTCATTGGTTTTACTTGGTGAGATAGTTATGTTCTTGGAATGTTCGGAAAACGTTAACCGTCCTCGGGTGCGTTCGAAACTCCTAATTGCCGTTTTTTGTTATGTTGCAAACTATAGCACAGGTATCAAATGTATTTTTGTTCGCAGTGGCTACGGGGACGGTAGCCGTATCTTAATGTCTCGAGGCTACGGGTACGGTAGTCCATTTGCGCATGCATTGCTTTCCCACAAAATGATGTCGTTCACTAGATATTAATTAATTAATTAGCTAGCCTACACTAGTTGTTTGGGATTGATTGTCAGTTCAGAAACAGTTGAGTTCAGTTTGTTATTGAAAGCCAAATGTTATACACCATAGATTAATTTATCTGTTTTTAGACGCCTATATATATACGACTCGAGTCGCTTTATAATTAGTGTTAGGGTTAGGGATAGGGATAGGCATACTGTTTGTACTTGTGTGTGTGGGGGGACTGCCGTACTCGAGACATTAAGATAAGTCTGCAGCGCATACGTAGTGTGGCTGCCGTTAATATGTCATTTTCGGAGGTTGATCAATGTTATGTGAATGCTGGTAAAAACGTTCTCAGAATGTCAGGAAAACTTTCCTAAAAAACGTTATTAGAACGTTACTGAATAATGTTCTGCTAACCTAAAAAAAACATTCCCATAATATTCAAGGAACATAACTTTGTTACACTATCAACTCTTAGATAAAATGTTACATTAATTGTTGAGCGTGTTAACCAACTTTTTGACTAAAAATGAACAGTGTAATTGTAAAGGTTGAGCGCTAATAGTTGATGTCAACGACTCGAGTAAATAGAAGACGTAGATAGGCGATTACCGGTTATGTTAATAAAGTTTTGTTAGCTAGGAGATAGAGATAGAGATTAGTTAATTGTGATGTTAGAAGAGGTTACAATGACCATGTTCACGAACAGCAAAGATTAATCCTTACACGCTCAGAATATCTTTAGGCGTCCATTTCCCCAAATATCGTCCGCACCATGCAGTCAGCAATCCAAACGAATGTTTCATCGTTAGTGATTAAATGGTAATGGCGTGTATGCAACTGAGATGTGATAGATGTGATAGATTTCAGAGTAACCCACGTTAGCGAGCATGCCCTGCGATGCGCGCTCATGGAATTTACACTGTCGTATAGAAGGTGTTGGGGACTGATTCCACCGGCATAATATTTTCGTTAACATTAGACTATAAACAGCTGTCAGGATTTGAAGGTTTGCTTATCGTCTCGCTTTTACTTTAGTCCCGAGTAAGCGTTTTTTTGCCACAATCGCGTTAGTGTGTCTTATGTGGTGACGCGTTGTCGGCAGAGTCCCTTTATAGAGATCTCGAGAATCTTTATATACGGCTCTGGTTGTGGGTGATGCTCCATTAGGAGCGTTCCCAACTTTAATGTCATTAATGTCGTGATATAAAAGAGATATAAAGGGGGGGGGGGTGATCGATATCAATTAGATATCAAGGGGGGGTTTAGATATGAAATAAATATCAAGGGGGGGGGTGATCGATATCAATTAGATATCAAGAGGGGGTTTAGATATGAAATAAATATCAAGGGGGGGGGTGATCGATATCAATTAGATATCAAGAGGGGGTTTAGATA